TTGCAGATGTCAAACTTTGAGTAACACAATAACAACAGCAACCACAACAAGAACAACAACTTAATTTTTAACCACAACCTAAAAACAAAAGTCATGTATGGTTTAAAACCTTAGAACAATCATAAGCTGTGCAAACCGTTTCAAGAGCCGTCATGGTCAAGAGCACAAAGGTTGAAAGAAGTGTGAAGAACTTCCATGAAGAGTACACATACTCAGTGAAGTTCCTATAGAAGTTGGCCTTCCTCTTTTCATGGTAGTACTTGATAACTTTGTTAATGGTTCCATCCAATTCCTTGGTCTTGGTAGGTCCAATACACTTGCTCATCCCATTGAATAGTTTCTCAATTTCTTTGATACCAAGAGAGCTATTTGACTTTATAATATTTGCTTCCTTTAATATCTTCACATCCTTTTCACTGTCTATGATTTCTCTCATTATTTCAGTGTACCTTGTGAAGATCAAAAAATCTGGTTTAGTTAGGGCTTCATGAGCTACTAGGTTTCTTATTATTACTTCAGAGTTCACATCCAACTTTATCAGAGGGAGATAAAATATGCCTTTTTTCTCATCGAATTCAATGGCTATGATGCCATCTTGAGAAGGTTCAAAACGAATCCCAACAGAATGAAGCTCATAAACTGAAGGGATGATGATTACAACAGGAACTTTTTCTTTAGAAGGAGTTGTTTGTGATGAACCATAATCTATGCTAGATATATTGACTATTGCATCTATGTGTCGTTTAATGGGTGGTGGAATTTGCATGTTCTTCAGTTTTTTGAGAAAACCTAGTGTCCAAATTATGGGATCTTGAACTTTCTTTAACATGGTGTCTTTGTCTTCATTTTCTGACGAGCTTCTCTTGTAATTACCAGCATCAATGGAAGAGGTCACATCTGTTGAAAAAAACTTTGTATATAAGAATGGAATGATAGAATTCACAAATATTAAGGGTTAGTGGTTACCATATTCAATCAAAGTTAAAAAGTAAATTTAAAATTAATATATATTTGAATTATCTATGGTTAGGGTTGTCAACATGGGTGGTGGTAGTTGGAGTTTTTAATATTTTATAATGATGATGGTAGGAGTGATTAGAGCTAGACTCGAAAAACTAAAATGAAATAACAATCATATATCATTCTATTTATACTTATAATGACATTTCCATCTTTTAAATTAAGTGTAAAATTAGTACTTCTCTCTTAAGAGAATATCCAAACTCGAGTGGTTAAGGTTTAGTGAAAATTAGGGTAGTGATCATAATTTCAATTAGGATGGTAACCTTCATCGTTATCAAAATGATACGTTGGTTATTATCAGGATAATAATGAGGTGATATATTTTAAAACTAGAAAACTGATTAATTAAATTATGAAACTTCTTTGTTATTTAAAAGGACAAAATAATTTTAAAAATGAATAAATAATAATATGAATTGAAATTTGCCAAAAACAATATTTTGAAAATATCATTTACAAAAACATAAACTAGTCACCATACTTAAATGACCTAAGTATAGTAAAAGTCACCAAGTCAATATATAACTTATGTAGAGTTATTCAAAACACAGGAATAACTCAACATATAAATCTAATCAATTTATAGTTTCTAACTAAGAATACCTTCAATCTCCAATGTTAATATGTCTGGCTTCTCATGCTGAGAGACCACTATATGGTACATAAGATCCAAGATATGATAATATTTGCTAACAGCTTCAGAACATGTAATTGGTTTGTGAGTTAACTTGAATGGACAGTGTTTCTCACAGAATGACAAGAGCATCGAACCCAATTCTTCTTCAACTAAATCAATAGGTTTGGAGCTTTCAATTGACAAGATACTCATCAACATATAGGTTGGAATTTGGTTCTCAACCATGATCATGTCTCTTATGATTGCATTTTTTGTTTTCACACCACTCATCTGAGATCGTTCTAGTCCTACAAAGAAGGAACTAGATACTTTCTCATCTAGATAGTTATGATAGAATTCTATTAAAAACAAAGCATCGATAGCAATTGTGTATAACAAGGTATCATCTTTAAGGTCCAAGTACTTGTGGTAACATGCACGAATGTATGGTCCTGTGTTGTGTAATTGTTCTACTAAATGTTTGAAGTCATGTTTGTTGAAGTAGTCAAGAACCCTTTTGGCAGAACAAATTTTGAACCTTTCCATGGGATAAAGTTTGGGACATAAATGGTTATATGGACCAATGGCTATGAGTTGAGGTGTAAAGGCTTCTGGCATAACACAACTCAAAGATTTAGGGACTTGGTAAATGCAAACAGGGATTTTGCTTAAGATAGTGAGGTTTGTTTCACTCACCAATTGATTGATTTGGATGACCCAATTGTCTTCATCAGATTCAGAATTGAAGATTGTTTGAGAGGCCATGTTGGGATTTTTTGTTTTGTTTTGCCTAATGTGTATGCTACATATGCAATATATGCTTTGTATATATAACATCAATTAGAGAATAATGTATTTCCGCGTATAAGGAGATAAATTATATTTTTCAACCACTAAAATTGTAACATGTTTACCATTTAATCATTTCTACAAAAATATTTTTAGAACTAAAAAAATAATACACATATCATTCTTTTACTGGTGGGGAAAATAAATTATCTCTTAGTATAATGAGATACATTATTATCCATCAATTATTTGGGTCAATTAAAACATGTGATAATGGATGAAGAACTTTCAAAATGTTGCTTTAGTAACTGCATGATTTTATATATTTTTCATAGCAATCAGTAACATGTGCATATTATAATACATTATTTTACAAGACTACCAAACCCTTCCACTTTGATTAATTATGACCAACATGCCAATGACATGTGATGAAAATGATCTGCCACCAGCTGCAGAGATATATATATATATATATATGAATGAGATTTGTAGATTGTTAAATATATTTTAATATTTTTATTAATTAGTTTAAACTCATTAAATTTTACATAACAAACTATTATTATAAATTTAATTTCTATAATTAAAACATATGTAAAATAGATTAGTCAGTTAATTCATCGTAAATATGTGATGTTTAACATCCTATTCATTATATGCAAAAAAGATTTACTATAAAACTAGAAAAATAAAAGGTAATGGAACAATAGCAAAAGACTCATAAATTTGTATTCACAACATGCAACAATAATTTATTTCTATATGTGATCTACAGCATCTAAATATGTACACGATATTAGATGTGTATAAATAATATTTCTAATTGGTTAAAACCACAAAATGATTTTTTTTCTCATTAGAAAATCATTGTAGGAAATAAAGGATACTTCATTCCCCAAGAAAACAAGTCTCCAAGACAAAGTGAACATGTAAAAAGCCTAACCATCTAAACCACCTGATTCATGTTTAAATTAAGAGCAGTAATATTATTCCTACACTTATCCATACACACTTCACACTTTGTTTTTTATAATAAAAAAACTCATAAGAATTACCTCAATTGATTAAATTCTGAGATTAAACTAAATACCCAATTCCAATTCTTGGAAACTACCTTGATCCTTTCAATTTTGTTGTCATATAAGATCTTTATGAATATCTTATTTTTGAAAAAATGAAGATAGAATAGAAGAAAATTTAATCTTTTCTTTCTTGTTGGACTTTATGTGGCCAAGTTATCTTGATGACATGCTGAGTGCACGCTAATTCCTTTGAACTATTCATACGTATTAGAAATTGATTTTTTTTAAGAACCTAATCACATGAAGTGTGAAACACTTTTTAACCAAATGAAAAAGGGAAACGAAGAAGAAGAACTCTTCATTGAATGGAAAAACTGAATCGAATGGATTACAATGATCAATTGCTGGAAATTTATATAAAATACAAAATAACTAACATCCTAACTAACTCTATAAGTCATAGACACATGCAATGTTACAAATAATTGCTTGTTATCCACACAATTTGTTCTATATCACATTTGATGCTTGAGTTGTGTTGCTGGGTGTAGGTCTTTGGTGTATTCTGGCACGAGCTTTGGCCAATTGCATCAACATTTTTTACTCGGCCATGTGACCTACTTGGCATGGTCACATGGCCTGTTCTCTCGGTCATTTGTTCCATGTCTGGAATGGTCGTGTAATTTCCTGGCTCAACCAGTTGCTTATTGTCCGATATGGTCACATAGCTTCTTGGCTTGGTCTTCATATATGTGCTTATCTCCTCGTACGGTCATTTGGCTCCATGACTCGGTCATTTTGCATGCTATTTGGCTCGATGGCTTAGTCAATCTGGCTTGCGGTGTGGTGCCATTTCCTTGTCCTAGGTTATGTTTATGAATATTCCTAGTTAATAATACATACACTAGCTACAGTCAAACTATATATATATATATATATATATATATATATGTTTCTCTCGATAAAAAAAAAGTAAAACTATGAAAATAATGTCAAGCTAGAAAAAAATGATGATGACTTCAATAAATGGGGAGGGATCCACTTACTCCAAGAGTAAGTGGAAAAAACCTACTACACATCATGATCATTTATTCTTGGGAAATCCAATGGTTTGAATTAATGAGTACATCTAAACCATTGGATTTTCCAAAATTAGATGACTAAAATATGGAGTAGGTCTTTTTCACTTACTCTTGGAGTAAGTAGATCCCTTCTCTCAGAAAATATCACTTACTTGTCTAAGAATTAACCAACATAGCACCAAGTGCAACAAATTCTATCAAAGTATCATCACTTCATTATTCAAGCATTACAAATTCTATCAAATATGTAGACTCTCATTTTTTTCCGAATAAAATACCTCTCAAGTGCAACTTGAAGAAGAGCTTGACCTAAAGAAAGGGACATTTAACATTTCCAAATTCTCATATACACCAAACTTTGGCCATTTACCAGAAAAACAATATGTAGAGCTACAATTATTTAAAGGGAAAAGAATTGCTTCCTATCCAACAATTGAACCTAATTGCGGAACTTACATGATAAGAAGAGAAACCGACATAGCCAAGGACAACTTGCCGACACAGATAGATATAATTAAACATATGAATATGATATGATGGACGATCGCTAACACCGGCAAGTCATCCTTGGCTGCACCAGTCTCCCTCCCTCTTCATGTAAGTCCCTCTTAGGGAACTATTCAACATATTCCTGAGCTTCATATGTAAATTATATGAACATATATAAGGTTCTACGTTGTATACTTTTATAGCATGTCATATTTATATTATGTGACGCATTAACCAAAACGCCAAAAGTAGCAAGTGGCCTCACTTGCCAAAAGTAGCAAGTGGCCTTACTTACCAACCAAAAGCCACACTGCTGTTCTGGCATATTGCAAATTGATCCAAATTAAAAGCTTATACTTCATTGGGTATAGCAGATAGGGGACCAATTTAATCGGTTTTGGACCCACTTTTTTATTGGATTATCCATCATTTATATCTAATCATCATTAATCCTGAATGCTAAATGATATATAATTTTGTATAAATCTTTATACTAACAATGCATAAATATTATACATTTGTACCTTAACGTGACAGTCTTTTGTATGATAATGTATTCTCATACACAACATACGATTAAATTTGTGATACCAACTTTTTTTTAATGTTCAGGCAATGCAATCATATATTATTCATTATTCATTTAAATTACATTTTTAAAGAATTAATAATAAATATTATTATGTGATATCCATTTTTTAGTGTTCAGTGTGTATAACTCATTCATTGTTGTCAGTAAGAGTTGTTGGAAACACAGCTTCTAAACTCACTGTCTCAGCTTGCTATTTGGCAGTGAATACAGTAAAGAGAAAGAATGGAAGTAAGTGTGATAATGAAGAATGAAAGAATGTGAGAAAACAGAGAGGGAAAGAAAATCAACACGTGCAAAATGCTTAAGAGGAAAGGTGTTAGTTTTCAACTAACTAACACTCAACCAGAACTTTCTATTTATAATGCTGTTTATGCAATACAACAAATATACACCAAGTAAACCAACTACACCAAGTACATAACCCAAGACCCATAAAGCCCAATACATCAAGCTTATTGAATTACTTCATTATTCAACACTCATCCTTAATTCATACTAGCTTGATTCACCATGCCAAGCTTGCTTCTTTGAACTTCAAAAGAATTCCTTCTCAATGGTTTTGTTAGTATGTCTGCAAGTTGGTTTTCTGACTTGCAAAACTCCAGCTTCAACCTCCCTTTTTCAACTAGATCTCTTAGGTAGTGGTACTTGGTTTCTATGTGTTTACTTCTTCCATGTGCAATAGGATTCTTGGCCAAGTTTATAGCAGATTTGTTGTCCACCATAAGTAGCATCGAGTTCTCATAGTACAAGCCAATCTCTTCAAGCAGAGACTGCAACCACATAGCTTGGCAGCCACCCAGACAAGCTGCAACATATTCTGCTTCACAGGATGAGAGAGCCACTGACTTCTGCTTTTTAGAACTCCAGCTAATAGGTGCTTGATTTAGCTGAAAAACATAACCAGTGGTGCTCTTCCTATCATCTTTATCACCACTCCAATCAGCATCTGTAAACCCAATCATACTCATTGTTTCTGCTCTGTTTTGTGTTGGAAACAGTATGCCCATATCCATGGTTCCTTTCAAATATCTCAAGACTCTTTTTGCTGCAATCATGTGTGATTGCTTGGGCTCTTCCATGTATCTACTTATCAAACCAACTCCATAGCTAATGTCTGGTCTGGTATTGCAGATATACCTCAATGACCCAATCACTTGCCTATAGAGTGTTGAATCAACACTGTCTTCATTTGGCTTTCCTTTGCATAAGCCATTTCCAGGTTCAACAGGTGTTGTAGCTGGGTTACAATGCTGCATATTAAACCTTTCCAGCACATCCAGAGTATACTTCTTTTGATGCATTAGTATACCTTTGCTTGTCTTTAAGAACTCAATCCCAAGAAAGTAAGAGAGTGAGCCTAAATCAGACATTTCAAACTCAAATTTGAGTCCATTCCTAATGCTTTCAACCTCTTCAGATTTGCAGCCTGTTATGAGCAGGTCATCTACATACAAACAAATAACCACAGATGCTGCTTCTGGTGTACTCTTGATGTAGATTCCATGTTCTGTTTTGCACCTTGTCATCCCTTGCTTCACAAGAAAGCCATCAATTCTTTTATTCCATGCTCTAGGGGCTTGTTTAAGTCCATAGAGTGCCTTGTGAAGCTTGTATACTTTCTGTTCTTGGCCTGCAACCTCAAAGCCAAGAGGTTGAGTCACATAGACTTCTTTGTCCAAGGGACCATTCAAGAAGGCTGACTTCACATCCATTTGCCATATGCACCAATCCTTAGAGCTTGCCATTGCTATAACAAGCCTAACTGTTTCCATCCTTGCTACAGGTGCAAAGACCTCATCATAATCCACTTCTGGTTTTTGTAAGAAACCTTTTGCAACCAACCTAGCTTTATGCTTGGCTATGGTTCCATCAGGTTGCAGCTTCAACTTGTAAACCCACTTCACAGCTATAGCTTTTTTGCCTTTAGGTAGTGTGATGAGTTCCCAAGTTCCATTCTTTTCTATTGAATGTATCTCTTCTTTCATAGCATTGATCCAGCACTCCTCTTTGATAGCCTGATCAAAACACACAGGTTCCATATCTGCCAAGAGTGCCATATGAACAAAATCACCTTCTGCTGTAATTTCAGTATCTGCAAACACCTCATAATCTCTCAGCCTGCTTGAGCCTTGCCTCTGCCTCTGAGGTCTATCATTACCCTCACTCACTATATGAGATCCACCATCTGTTTGTTGAACATTTTCAATAGGAACAGAAGTGCTAGGCATTGTAGGTGAGTATGCTAAGTCAATCTGACTTCTCATCATAGTGTCACCCCTGTTTTCTTCCCAAGACCAGGCCTGAGTCTCATCAATCTTTAGATCTCTACTGAATAGAAGTGTGTTTGTTCTTGGATTGTATGCCTTGTATGCACCAGTTGAGTGATATCCAAGGAAAATAAGCTTCTCTCCCTTGTCATCCAGCTTCTGTCTCCTCGCATCAGGGACATGTCTATAGCAAACTGACCCAAATACTTTGAGATGCTTCACACTTGGCTTATTCCCTGACCAAGCTTCCTCTGGTGTTATTCCATCCAATGTTTTTGTTGGACATCTGTTGATGATGTAGGTTGCTGTGGCAATTGCTTCACCCCAAAACCTTTTGGGGAGGAGTTTTGTCTTCAACATACTTCTGGACATGTTGAGCAGTGACCTGTTCACCCTCTCTGCAGTTCCATTATGCTGAGGTGTGTAAGGGGCTATGATTTCATGAGTTATACCTTCTGCATCACAAAATTGTTGAAACTCATGAGACTTGTATTCACCACCACCATCACTTCTCAGCAACTTTAACTTGAAACCACTTTGCTTCTCTACATATGCCTTGAAGCTTCTGAATCTGCTGAATACTTCATTTTTCTGCCTCAACAAGTATACCCATAGCTTCTTGGTATGCTCATCTTTGAAAGTAACAAAATAGTAGTTCCCTCCAATGGATTGTACTTCAAGTGGTCCACATACATCACTGTATACAATCTCTAGAGGATTATGAGTCTTTGTATTCATGCTGCTCTTGAAGGAATTTCTGGACTGCTTGCTTATGATGCATTCTTCACATAATTCACTTGGAATCTTTACCTCAGGCATCCCAGTAACCATCTGCTCTTGGCTCAACTGCTCTAAACTTCTGAAGTTTAAATGGCCAAGTCTCTTATGCCATATCCAGGCTTCATCTATTGAAGATTTCAGACTCATAACTCCATCTATGTTGATGCCAATCTTAAAGGTTCTGTTTTGTGACAGTGGTGCCTTTAAGATTAGGACTCCATCCTTGCTAAAGATCTTCATCATTCTATCCTCTAGCCTCATTTTGTATCCTTTTTCAAGCAGCTGCCCAAGGCTTATCAAGTTGTTTTTCATCTTTGGCACATACAAGACACTTGAGATGCAAGTTACAGCCCCATCTTTTCTCTTGATCTGTATGTCTCCAATCCCTTCTGCCAACACAAAGCTTTCATCAGCAAACTTCACTCTGGTTTTTGCAGAGCCATCAAGGTTTTTGAACCATTCCTTGTGCCCAGTCATGTGGTTAGAGCAGCCTGTGTCTAAGTACCAATTCTCAGAGAATGGATTCTCATTCATAGTTGTGATCATTAGTGCTCCATCTGAGACACTGCCATCTTCTTCAACAACTTCTGAGTCTGCCATGAGGAGTACTTCCTCATCTGAGTTCTCATCTCTTGCCAATCTTGCTTCAGCTTCTGTGCTTCTTCTCTTTTGCTTGCACTCTGAGGCAAAGTGACCCCATTCTCTACAGTTAAAACACTGAATCTTGCTCTTATCTTTCTTCTTTCTACCACTCAAACTCTTATTGGCATAGCTGTACTTGTTGTTCTGATTTGGCTCAAAACTAAGGCCAGAGTTAGTTGAGCTCCTTTTTGCATGGCTATCTGACTCTAGTTTCTTGTCATTTTGCCACTTGCAAGCATCCTTCTTCATCTTCTCACTGTGTCCATATCCTTTCTTCTTGTATTGAGCACTTAAGGCTTGTTGAGAGTGTCTACTAGTCATCCTTTCCATGAACCTCTGCTCATGCACCTCCAAAGATCCTTGTAGTTCATCAAGTTTGATCTTGTCAAGGTCTTTTGATTCTTCAATTGCTATCACCACATTATCAAACTTTGCAGACAGAGTTCTCAATATTTTCTCTACTAAACTTTCCTCAGTCATCTTCTCCCCATAGCCCTTCATTAAGTTTGTTAGGCTTCGAATTCTATTAAAATATTCAGCTATGGATTCTTGCTCCTCCATCTGTAACAACTCAAACTGCCTTCGCATCATCTGTAGCCTTACTTTCTTGACTCTCAGTCCACCTTCATAACACTTCTCAAGTGTTTCCCAAGCTTCTTTGGATGAAGTTGCTGCTGAAATCTTTTCGAAGTTAGATCTATCTACACATTGATGGATTAGGAATATTGCCTTGCAGTCTCTCTTCTTGGCTTCTTTGTGCTCAAGTCTCTGAGCTTCACTTGGATTTGCATCAAGATCTTTGATTCCAGATTGCACAACATCAAAGCAATCTTGAAAGCCAAAGATTGCCTTCATTTGAATACTCCAATAATCATAGTTCTTCCCATCAAGTGTAGGTAGATT